CCTTAATTTTAAGTCTGTTTTATTAGTTCATTGCCTTTCCCAAGATCAGGAACAGTCTCTTCTTTCTTTTAAAAGCTCTATGATTTTATTTTTCTCAGAGCACCTATAATTGATTTCTGTGCATGTGTATTTTGTGCGATAAGTCCACATACATTATTTCCTACATGCATATTCAATTGGTCCAGCATAATTTGCTAAAGATACCATATTTTTTTCTCCACCACAGTTTAGTTTACCTTTGTTTGAATCAAGTGATTGAACGTGTGTGGATCTGTTTTTGAGCCCTCTGTTTTGTACCATTGGTCTAGTTTTTCTTCTTTGCCAATATCACACTTTCAGGAGTGATAAAACTTTATAATAAATCTTGCAGTTTGGTTATAGAAGACCTCCAAACTAGTTCTTCAGTTACGCTGGCTATCCTTGTCTCTTTGGATTTCCATATAAAGTTTAGAATCAGCCTGTCAATTCCTGCAAAAAGAAGTCTGCTAGTATTTTGAGTTATCTTGTATTAGGTCTATCTAATCATTTTGGAAAAAAATTGACTTCTTCACAATAGTGAATCTTCCAACCTATGAATGTAGATGTATCCCTCCACCCCATTCATTTTTTAGGTCTTCTTTTACACCTCTTAGCAACGTATTGTGGTTTACGGTGTAGGGTCTTGCATGCCTTCCATTGGATTTGTTACCAGGTATTTGATGTTGTGTGACATTAATGTAAATAACATTTTAAATTTTATTTTAAAAGTGTGTTTGTTGCAGGCTTATAGAAAAGATCTTTTATGTATAAAATTATATTGAAATGCTTAATGACAGTTTGTTTCTTTTCTGTTCTTTATATGTAGTTTTTAACATTTTCTGGCCTCATTGTTCTGGGTAGCAACTTCATTACAATATTCAGTAGAAGTGGCAGTACCAACCATCCTTATCTTGTTCTTGATTTTAAAATAAAAGAATAAATTATGAATATTTTACCAATAAGCATAATATTTGCTATATTTTCATAGCTTTAAAAAACCCAGTTAAGGAAGTTTCCTCCCATTCCCAATGGCTAATAAGAGCTTTCTTCTGTTTAAAAACACAAATGGGTTTTGAATTTTATCAAATGCTTTTTTCTGCTTCAGTCAAGATGATAGAATTTTTTTATTCTATAATGAGGTACTTTCCATTGATTGATTGTCAAATACTAATTCAATCCGGTATTCTCTAAATAAAATCCACTTGGTATATCATACTCTATTTGTAATATGTGTGCATGTGTATTTGGATTTTTTGAATCTATGTTCCAAAAAAAGTTGCCTATAATTTTCCTTTCCTGTAATGTCCTTGTTATATTTTAGTATCAAAATTATGCTTACTTTATAAAAGGAAGAGATTGATGAAGACTGGTATTCTTGATTTCTTAAATGTTTAGAAGAATTTGCCAGTAAAACCATGTGGCTCTGGACTTTTTGTGTGTGTGGATGGGTGGGGGAGTGGAGCTTTAAAAACTCTTTTAAGTTATTATTTTAAATAATTATCCATTTACTAAATAAAAAGCTATGCAGATTTTCTATTTCTTCTTGTATATAAATTTGGTAAATTATATTCTTTTTCTATATAATCATTTTAGTAATTTTATTTTATTTTTAAATTTATTTTTGTTGTATTCTTTCCATTACCATTTGTTCCTTTTAGACCACCTCCCCATTCCTCTGCAGTCACCACACAGTTTGTTCATGTCCATGAGTCCTTTTTCCTTTTTTGCTCAATCCCTCCACCCCTTAAGCCCCTCAAAACACTCTACACATTACCTCATTTGTCACATTTTATTGGGGGAAAGGCATGTTTTTAATGTCATCTTAATACTTTCTAATGCTGGTGGAATCTGTATGGTTGTACACTCTTCTGTTCCTGTTATTGGTAATCTGCATGTTCTTTTTCTTCTTGTTTTCTTGATTAGTCTTGCTAGTGGACTATTAAATTTACTAGTCTTTACTGATTTTATTTTTATTGTCTATCTGTTTCTGTTTCAATTTATTTTCACCTTTTAAATTTCTTCCCTTAAAATATGTTTGGTTTGATTTTCTGTTATTTTTCTATTTTCTCAAGCTGACTGAAATAATAGGTGTTTAAAAGCCTTTTCTTTGCTAATATATGCATTTAATACTTTCAACTTTGTTATAATCATTTATTTTAGCTGCATGTAATATGATAATATTTTATACCTTTATTAGTGTTTAGTTAACAATGCTATAACTTCTGTTGGAATTTTTTATTTCACCTATGGATTATTTAGATGTGTATTTGTTGTTTTTCAAGCAGTTGAAGATTCTGCAAGTTTTTTTCTCTTTTTGTTAGTAATGTTTAGCTTAATTTCACTGTGGTCAGAGAACATGCTCTGAAGTTTTCAGTCCTTAAAGTTCGTTGAGGCTTGCTCTATGACCCTGACTATGGTCAGTTTTGGAAAATGCTCTCTATATGACCTTGAAAATAATATGAATTCTGTCACTGATGGCATTCATTAATGTTAATTTGTCATTTAATTCACTTTTGGTCATTGTGTTTGGATTTTCTCTATATTTATTTATTTGGTCTCTTATTCTACCAGATATTGAAAGAGGTATTCCGTCAGATATTGAAAGAAGCATGTCAAAGTCTCTATGATTGTGAATTTGTCTATATTTTCTCTTAATTCTGCCAATTTTTGCTTCACACACACATACACACTCATATTGGGTTTTAAGATGGTTTTATATTATTATCCACCATCTTAATTTTAGTAGTGGTTCTTGCCCTTAAGCCTGCTTTGCCTGATACTGGTATAACTACACCACGATACTTTGATAAGCATTTGCATGATCTGTCTTTTTCTATGAGCAGCTCTGTGTTTTTAGTTTAAGGTTTGTTTTGTGAGCATATGTAATTTTTTACCCAGCCCGATAGTCTTTTTAATTGAAATATTGTCCATTTATGTTTAATATAATTATTCTGTGTTTTTGTCATCTTATTCCTTGCTTTCTATATATACACCACTTGTTTTATGTTTTTTCTCCCCTTTCTTGCTTTCTTTTGATTTAAAATTGTATTTTTTTCTTTTCTCTCTAGAATCAATTTTTAGCTATACACTTGTCAGTTATACATTATTTTACTATTCTCCTGGTGATAAGCCCTAGGAATTATAACACACATCCTTGACTTATTACAGCCTAGTAAAAGCTATTAATTTTATAACATTCTCAATAATGTTAGGACCTTAAAATACTTGAATTCCATTTATGTTTTTAATTCTTAGGTCTTTTGTATTATTTTTCCATGAAATTTTATTCTATATAATTTTTAAACCCTGAAATATATTGTTAATATTGTTTTTTAGATTAATGTTGACACATGCGTATTCACAAAGTTATTTCTCCTAATGCTCTTCATTCTTTTTTTTCTTTCTTTCTTTTTTTTTCATTCCTTCTTGTACTCCTGTGTCTGTCTGAGCCCATTTTTCTTCCTTCGGAAGCACTCCCCTTTAGGATAGTCTTCATGCTGTCCTGCTGGCAATGAATTCTCTCAGTCTCTGTTTATCTAAAAATGTCTTCAGTTCACCTTTATTGAAAGAAGTTTTTTTTTTTTTTGGTATAGAAATCTAAGTATGTGTTACTATACCAGACACTATTTCACAGTCTTACAGATGGATGCAAAATTTAGTAAGCTTCAAATAACGTTCATATTTTATAATGTTTACATCGATCTTGGTGTTCTAGTCAATATCACGCCATTTCTCCTCACATTCCTCTTTATTCTAGCATTCGGCAATGGAAATAGTCCAGAATTTGAAAAGAAAAATGCCTTTTGAATTTGGTCAAGTGATTTAATTTTCCTGAGCTACTTTCTCATGTATAAAATGGGAAATCACTGTGAAATTATGAGGCTCTGTTGAGATATATATGAAATTTCTTTGAAATATGTAAAGTATTGATCAGTTGGAAATTTTTAGTGTCCAAATTATAATAAATAAAATTTACTACTATTTACTACAACAGAAACATTTTCAGTGTATGTTCTCTTACAAATGTACCTTTCTGTGAACACACACGAAAGGATTAAAATGATAGTAGTCATGTATGTATTTACCCATACCTTTCCTTCTATGAGAAAGTAGGACATTATTAAAAGTTACGTAAAACACAACTTACATAAGGTCAATTGTAAATTTATTTCTGATCTTTCAAGCAAGTCACATGAAAAGGGAAACCTAGCCAGTTACATAATTCAAAATACCCATAAGATTTAGAGTAATCCATTATTCAGGAGAAGTACAGTTCTTTCTTAATACTAAGTTCAGACAGGAATTCTCCCCTTTGTTTTTTTAATGACATAGAATTATTTGAAGGATTATTCTGCTGGTTTCGAAGTTACTGATTTGCATGGTTAATACAAATCAGCATTGGACTGATCTAGAATTTTAATATTCTGTTTCATACCCCTGAAGAAAGAATTATACATTTTCATGTGAGCTGCAAGTAACTGTTTTTCCACTCTACTTGCAAATGGATTTTATTTTAAAAAATAAATAATGCATTCCCTTTTCAAAATGGTTGGGCACATATTAGAGGGAGGGTTAGGCTGATAAATTAAAATTTTATTTTGCATATAAAACATTAACAAAACTGCCTTAGGAAGGTATTTTGCTGTATTTTATTTTTTCTTCATAGAGGTTAATTCAGAAATTCTTTACTGCATTGTTCAAATATTTATTGGGTCCCTACTATGTGCAGGCATATCTCTATTGGTTTGTTTAATCTCCTTTGACAAAAGGGGGCCGTTCAAACTTAGATTGTGTGCTTTCCTCTTTCCTTTTAGTAAGCGTGCATTTCAGTGGAGCCAAACGTTATGGAACTGAGGCTTTTAAACAAACAAGTGAAGTGCATGTTAGTGCCTTACAGCCAATGCCCCAGCCCGTTTGAGGTTTTGTATGGTGATCTAAGAGGACATTTGCTTCTTATTTAAATTCTTTGACTTTGTCTTTAGGTCTCTGGCATGCATTTTATATGAGATGTGCTGCATGAATCATGCATTCACCGGCTCCAGTTTCTTGTCCATTGTTTTAAAAATTGTTGAAGGCAACACTCCTTCTCTCCCTAAGAGATATCCAAGAGAACTGAATGCCATCATGGAACGGTATGGAAATAATGTATTACCACAGAAACAGTTTTAAATTGTGCTTAAATTTTAGTTTGTCTGAAAAATAATTTTCTTTTTACACATTACAGCATGTTGAACAAGAATCCTTCACTGAGACCATCTGCTATAGAAATTTTAAAAATCCCTTACATTGATGAACAACTACAGGTATTTAAAATGAAAGGGATACTGGGAAGCATGTAATGATTGTCATTTATTTATGTTCTAGGACTAGAAGATACACTGTGAGAATAAGATGCATTCAGAATCAGTAAAAACAGAGAGACAGGATATTTTTTTAAAGATTTTATTTATTTGTTTTTAGAGAGGGAAGGGAGGGAGAGAGAGACATCGAGAGAGACATCAGTGTACGGTTGCTGAGGGTCATGGCCTGCAACCCAGGCATGTACCCTGACTGGGAATCAAACCTGCAACACTTTGGTTTACAGCCCGCGCTCAATCCACTGAGCTACGCCAGCCAGGGCTGAGACAGGATATTTTTTTTAAACTGAGGAAAACTATTAGTTGGGACGATCTCTTTGCACAAGAAAGTATGTGAACTCTGGTTCCCTGGTACCTGATATGTTAGGGTTGGGATTTTCTGCCTAAACTCAGCACCTGTCCTCAGGGTTCTTAGCTTACAAATCTTACCGCAATGCTTTGTAAATATATTCCTGCAAGGACAGAGCGTGGTACTACTTATAACAAAATCTGGGTTTTCACTAAGTCCGTACTATTCTACTCCTTTATTATATGTCTCAATAATACTTTTTATTGAGTAGGTGAATTTATTTTGTTTTTCTGTAAATTGGAAAATTTGATGTAGAGAATTTATCTCTGGTGCTAAGAAAATAATTAAATGGTACCCTCTCAGGAGATGTTGTTGTTGTTGTTGTTGTTGTTGTTGTTGTTGTTTTAAGATTTATTTATTCATTCTTAGAGAGAGGGGAAGGGAGGGAGAGAAACATCAATGTGAGAGGAGTATTGATCAGTTGCCTCTTGCACACACCCTGATGGGGGACCTGGCCTGCAACCGGCTACTTTTCGCTTTGTGGGTTGACTCCTAACCAACTAAGCTACACTAGTTAGAGCTTTGGTTTTGTTTTTTAAACTTCTTAGGCTTTTACAATATAAATTCCTCAGACAAATTTCCTTTAATGTTATGAATATCTTTAAGAGGACTGCAAAGCTTTCATTCCCCTTTAAAAATGTGCATGCCTTTTCATCAGAGTCCAGCTCTCAATCCACAGGACACATGATGCTGAGCTGCTGTGCATTCATTAGCTGAGTGCGGGGCACTGTGCTGACACTGGGGGTGTGGGAATGCAAGGACCTCACATGGCTCCTGTCTTTTGGAAGCTTGACTGCTAGTTAGAGAACCCAGTAACCAAGGAAAAGTAAGCAAGTAAAGTAATTTTAAGTTCTCATGAGCACTAGGAAGAAAGCAAATAGGATGCTGTGAAATAAGGGAGGGGGAGTGGTTTGGTGGTCACAGAAGGGGTTAGGAGACATTTTGACACCAGTGACATGGTGAGAAGTAGCCAGCCATGCAGAATGCCTCACTCACCTCACCCTAGTTTTGGTCTTGGGATGTGGACTTTGTCCACTACAGAACCAGAGGGGAAGAGAGCTTGTGTGACCTTGGAGCTGAAAGAAGGCCTGTTGTTGCCTGGGTAGCAGGGAGTGAGGGAACAGGCAGTGCAAGACGAACTTGGAGAGGTAGGCAGGAGCCTGACCCCTCAGGATCTGGTTGCATAAACTACCGTGCAACATTTTGTAACCCTTTGTAGAAGGAAAAATAGCTACCAGTGGGTTTTGGTTTCAAACTCCCAGATACAGTCAGTAATAGTGCGAATTAGAAAAGTCACTGTGTGGTTTATGCCCTTCCTTCCCTGAAGAGGAGCCTTTTTTTTTCAGCACCTGATGTGCAGATACTCAGAAATGACTCCAGAAGACAAGAATTTGAATTGTCAGAAGGAAGCTGCTCATATAATCAATGCCATGTAAGTAGTTACATTGTTTTTAAAAAGCCCATTGAACATAAATAAATAGTAAGTGCATTTGTCTTTTAAAATCTCTTAGTGCTAAGCTGACTGTGTGGAGCATCCTCATACTTATGTGTCTTGCCAAGAAATACAGGCACTTCCGCAACTTGGCGTTCCAAAGCCCTTTGCCTCAGGTGAAACAAATTGAAATCACAAAAGTTTAAACCACCGCACAGCATGCAGATCTGTAGGGTAGCTCTGCAGCTGCCTTGTAACTTTGTAGAGAGATTAGTGTCTCAAATATTTAGTGGTCCATGTGCCAACACACCTTCCATGTTAAGCATACATGGATTCCACATGTTTGTTTAACAGTAACTGTCAGGGTATCTATTGAAAAGACCGCATTGTGCAGTCCTGGAACAACTGAAAATGCTAAGCCGAAGTTCACTTTCTTCAGATATATCTAAGAACTGGAGAATGTGTGTTTCAGAAGAACCATAATTTATTGGCCTAACTTCTGTCTCCCACCTCACAGAATTTCTGTGTTGTAACTTACCAGAGCCCAGAGCACGAGGTAACTTCAGAACAGACAGGTACGGCTGTGCTGGCTGTGTGCTGAGCAGCTCTGGGGCAGGGGGCACTAATTATAAAGACCGAGTTTATCATTTGGGTGAAGACCCTCTCTGTTTAGTTTTCTAAGGGCCCAGTGAGAATGGCAGCCCCTGCCCAGAGCTGTGCAAGGCAGTGGGGGAGAACAGTGGCCCTCAATAGCCTGATCTTCATGGCCAAATAGCATGAATATGCTTGCCTAATACCCAGTCCAGCGGTTTGTTTTCCATCTTCTCATTTTAAGCTGAGGAAATGGGTCCGTCAAAGATATTCAGTCTTTGTTTAATGCACGATCTCCAGCTAAAGTAAACTGTACCTCAGTGGGACACATTTCAGGCATGCTCCTATAACCTTGCCTGGTTTTTCAAGAAAGCCTGGATATTCTTAATTTTATTTTTTTATTGGAGACGTGAGAGTAGTAGATAACTTATTTTTTAAATGCTGGACTGATTTTTGTTATCATTTTGCACTGTAATTATGAAACACCATTCACAGTTAAAGTACACTAGAATCCAGTTGCTTGGGTGGTATTTCACATTATGATATATTGACTTCAGATCGTTACTGTACTTTTCAAGATCTGTGACTGTGCTTTAAGGAGAGTTATTTGGTCGTACAAAATAAGGGGTGTGTATTTCTGGAAATTGCACGTCCCCTGGAGGCTCTGGTCTGGACAGTGCTCTGGAGGGATGGGACCTGCCTAAATGGTCATTACAGTTTCATCATCACATTTCTTGTAGTATTGGGCCCTAGGCAAGTCAGGCGCAGGAACAAATGTCACCAAGAATGTGGTTGTAGACCTTTCAATACACGATTACTGTAAGCACATTTCTTTAAAGAAAAAGGCTCTTTATATAATGTTGGCTAACATTTTGGGGGTAATGACCATATGTTATGAGCATTTTTCATGAATTCACTCATTTAAACTCGCAACAAACCTATGAAGTGGGTACTATTTATTTTTTAATGATTATAAAGATGTTAAGTGACTTTTCCATGGGTGTATAAGATTCAGACCCAAAGAACCTTACTAACTGGTACAATGAACCACTATGCTGTGCTGCCACAAAAGTACCTACTGTGTTAGGCTTAGAATATAAGACATAAGAAATGTTAGCTGTAATAATGCCATCATGTGGGATACTTTTTGTGTGTCAGACATTGTACCTTATCTCATACAATACTCACTCTTAACCCATTCTTTATGGATGAGGAAACTGAGGTTCAAAGAGGTTCAGTAATTTGCCCAAGACTGCAGACCTAGTGAATGAGGGTGCACATCAGATTCACACCCTGCCTATCTCAAAAGATTGTGTTCTATCCACATGGTCGAATTTGTCTGGCTGTCTATTTATTTCTTAATAGCCAGAATCCTAATTTGTCTTACATTATGAAAGTCAGTTATAAGCAATGAAATGAGCAGAAATTTGGAAAGTACATAATTTGCTTTTAAATAAAAATCTAATTTGAAAAATATTGCCAATTAACCACAGTCCTGGTTGGCTCATTACATACCCAGACTTTATTAGTTTTTGCCTGGCCTGTCTCGAGATGCTTTTCCCTCCTCAGTAGTGTAACGATACTTCTGTAAATTATTTGTTTAATTTTTCTGAGCATGTCTGGGATGTGTTCTGTGTGGGGAATCTTTATTTTCTCTAGGCAAAAACAGATCCACCTACAGACTCTGCGGGCACTCTCTGAAGTGCAGAAAATGACCCCGAGGGAAAGGATGCGGCTGAGGAAGCTCCAGGCGGCCCACGAGAAAGCCAGGACGCTGAAGTAAGCTGCCCTTCCTCAGGCCCCCAGCCCTTCGGCCGCTTCCCGGGGCTCTGAAGGAGTTCACTGAGGAGGAGCAGAGCCAAAACAAGGAAACAACATGCACATACTCATTATACATGTTTCTGTTTATTCATTCACTTGTTCCCTCAAAAGATGGTTATTGAGCCTTAGATGGTGACTGGATGGCAGGCATTATTCGCATTAGGCTTTCAGTCTTGTGTGGAAAGGAGGCCTGCCTATCAGGGTGGTTACTAGTAGTGAAAATGGCATCAGCCTTCAGATGGAACCTTGCTGTTGCTGACACCTTCTGAACCAGTGTGAGGGCGGAAAGGGTGACCTCAGGGCCTGGCCCTCATTCTCTGGGTGTTTGCTGCATCCCCTCTGCCAGGAGACCTGGCTGGTCCACAGAGAGAAGAAGGTGCTGGCAGGAAATTGCTGGCCTTAGGAAGCAGTTTAGAAACAGCTCTGTTCTGTCCGGTGAGGCCCTGCGAAACGTGCACATGCTCAGGGCGGGGCCGCTGGTGGGAAACACCCCTGGTAATTCAAGTATTGACGTGGAGAGGGGGCGTTCAGAAGCCCTAGGATCCCAATTTCTGAAGACTGATTCTTCAGTTGGGAGGTTATCCAGTTTCCTAATTTTTCTTCTTCTTTCTTCTACTGCCAATGTTTTGCTAGCTTAGAAGCCCCAACCAAGATCTAGGGAGACAGAAAAAAAACTGAAACTCCAATATGTTCATTTTGTGACCTTGTCAATGTATCTGAAACATGATTTAGACATATCCTTGTACTTGTAATGAATATCATGACTGTTAGGTCGGAGTCACTCAAGAAACCAGACTGACACAGTGAGGCAAGGAGCAGGGTTTATTAGCGGGGAATAAGAGGAAGTGGAGCCAACCAAGGGAGATTGGGACTCTAGAGGGAAAGTGTAGAAAGTGGAGCCAACCAAGGGAGGTTAAGATTCGCTCGGTTGTTCTTGGGGCAGGGTTTTTAAGCTCAAAAACCCACGAAGGGTAGCTGGTTGGGCTGTCAGGGTCTGACTGGCTAGAACTGGCTGCTTGCTGGGTGCTGTTTCTGCTGACCATTGTTCTTGACACATCTCGTCAGCCTCAGGTTGAAGCTGCATCCTGTTATGCTGGAAGGGCCGACCTCAGACCCCAGTCTTAGCCCAGGCATCTGTTTGTCCTGGGTACCATTGGCAGGCAGTTTCCCACAGTAGTTTCCCGCCTGCTGATCTTCCATTCCTCCTAGGCCTGCCTAGGTCTGTCAATGACGAACCAACAAGAATCTGTGAGATTGTTTTCCCTTAAGACATGTTTTCTTTAATAAATGTGGAAAAAGACTTTCTTCAAAGTGCTCATGGGTGGTAGTGTGCTGGTAGATGTTTACCCACCACCCCTGAGCTCATTGGGTGAGTCGGGGTGGGGAGTGACTGCTGATTTGTTTGCCAATTTCTGCGGTGGCAGGACTCCCATTATGGCCAATTTTAAGCTACCAGTGTGATATCGTGGACTGTTCAGCTGGGGAGATAATGTGCACATCCTTCTCCTGGGAGCCAGTACAAGTTGGTTCCTGCAAAGTACCACCACTGAGTGTAGCTTTTACTGAGAAAACATATTCACATAAATTGTTCGAGCCCTTGAATCAACTCACATCCCAAATCTATTTATATCACCTCGGAAATGGCAATACATCCAGGTTATTATGATTTATGTCATTGGTTGAGGGTAAATGGAAAATTAAATCTCTACTAGGAGCAGATTAAAGTGGCTATTTAATTACATATCTATATTACAAATTATTTTTTCTGATTTTTGTACACAAAAGAAAGTCATATAGATCTTCTACATGACATTTCATATTTTCTTGTTTAAAGGCAATGCCTTTTAAATAACACCTGTTCTTGATTTTATGAATGACTTGAATCAGGATTATTTTTGATTGTTATTTCTAGGATTCAAGAGTGGTCACATGTTTTAACTAGAAAATGTCTCCGTTGTCAGAAGGATTATAATGTACCCATTTTATAGACAACAAAATTTGACCACAGGGATGTTCAATGACTTTTCAAACAAATCTAAGTATAAATCAGCACACAAGCAATTGCAGGAACTCAAATCTGTCTTTCAGTTTAGTAGCAGATTAAATTCTACTTTTCTGTAGTAGAGAAAACAAAGAAAATGTGTCTGAGAAAAATTCCCCTCCACACTGAGTCTCATATTCTTTTCCATAATTTTGAAATGTTGCTGCATTTCCTTGTTTATGTGTTTATTTTACCCTAAAAGCAGTTATTGAGTTATTAGTATGTGCTGGACACTGTGCTGGGCATCAGGGACACCCCCCATCATTATAGTCAGAGAACACACAGGGATCAGCACTGTATTCTTCTGTATCTTAGGGGTTCTAAGGAAGGAAAAAGGAGCCAGAGCATCCTTGTGTGTGCTTTAAAGGAGAATCCAGTGGGGGCTGCATTGCACACACATCCTCACAAGAGGAAGACCCATTGGCCTGGCTTTCTAACACCCCAGTTTGCCTGTTGAAATGGGTCACACCTATATAATATAGATGTGTTTTCAGCAAATTGCAACTATTTTTCTACATTTGTTTTAAATTTGCAGAAAGCTTACTGAAGAAAAAGATGAAGAAAATAACAAACGAATGCAAGAATCGAGATCTCAGAACTTTCAACTGCTAACTGTTGAGGGACTCCATGTAAGTACTCTTATTTTACACTTTACATAAAACCTTTTCTGGCTTCAGATGTTTTCAGATTCATGAAGCCAGTTGGTCAGGGAAAGGGACAAGGTAGGGAAGAAAAGCATCCAGACCAACTTCATTCAGTTCCAGGGAAGATGATCCTTTTCGAACGCAGGGCGACAGTTGATGACCACAAAGCAGCTCTGCTTAGAGGTGGAGCCACTGATTTGTCCAACAAATACTAGGACCTACAGAATCATCTGCACTGAGTGAACCACTGATGAGTTAAAAGTATGACTTTGCAGAACAAATTTGTGTATATCTAATTTTGAATTTCAGCCATGCTATTGTTGGTTTTTCTCTTTAGTCCATTGTTCTCTTTTTGCCTTATTTTTTTTTATTCTTTACCTTTATAGTTTGTCTCCCATCCATATTACTCCTTGTGTTAATAATCCCATCCAAACTTTGAAGAATTATCATGGATATCCGATAACAAATAGGGTTGCAGATTCACATGAAATGAACTTCAAATGCCTGTCCTCTGTGTCCCAACACCCTGGATAGCAAATACTGTTTTCTTTAATGGTTAAAAATTGAACTTGGCATAGGTTCTGATACTTAAGACCATCTTTCTTCAGGGTCATATTTGAACAATAGACACCAATACCAGCTCCTAGCACTTCTGGTAAAAACATCTTGGAAAAGAGTCATTTTTAGGGAGAACCTTATTGTCTCAAATTCTGTTTGCTCATCCATTGGAGATCCCTGCATCCGAAGGAGATTCCTTCCTTTGGCAGGAAGAGCCAAGTTCCCTGAGGCTGTGGGGATGGTCCCTGCAGTCTGAGGATGCTCATTCTGCTGTGACGGGTGATCCCAGGGCTGCAAATCCTGGGCTGCGCAGGGGCACCCAGCAGCACTCACTCTCAGCCAGGCACAGCCCAGGAACACTTGTTTTCTGCCTCCGTCTCAAAGGCTTTTCACTTTTCTCAATTACTTTGTGGTTGCGAGTGCTTTAGAGTTCTAAAACCAAAATTGGACCAGACAGGGGGACCCAGCCTTTTCGGACCTTAAGAGTCTCCCTCTGTTGGACCCTTTGCAGAGAGTTTGGGATGTTGGTGATATGCCACCCGCCATTTTCCCCACCCCCATTTTCTACCCAACTGCCACTCCATTAACTGGAGCCAGCTGTGGGACCTGTTGACGGGCATGCGGTCAGCAGTAGTGCTGGATCCCTGCTTAGAGGAGGGTCTTGATGCCACCACTTGATGCCACTCTGACCTCTTCAGTGCCTTTCTCTAGTTCCTCAGGCCTTTTCTAAGCCCTGAAATAACTTGTAAAGATGGGTTTTCTTTCCTATGCCTGTTGGCTTTCTTGCCCCCGAGTCTGAGAACTGCAGATTCCCACAGATCCTCACAAGGAGTCTGATGTAAGAATTCTGTTTTTGTTAATATGTGTAAACTGCTTGCTCAATCAGCTGATTGAAAATGGGACTTTTTTCTTGAAATGTCAAGGAACCCCTGCTTCTAAGTGATTTCACCCCCTAAGATTAGAAATTTAGGAGTACAGATAGGGTAATATTTTTAGAGTACACAGATATTGAATTATAGTCTTATATTCCTGATATTATATAATGCTATTAACCAGTGTTTCCCCAGTTTTAAAATGAAAAACTTTCTTTATCCCCAAAGTTATCATATAGCAAATAAAAATGTAGTTTTAAGCACGATCTTACATTTTAGTGTCAGATAATTTATGTAACTTTTTTGCTTTTCTTTATTGAACCTTCAAAATAATCATTTTTATGTTCTTTTTCACTTCTGACATGATTATTATCAATGTTAAACAACTACATTGCATTAGATTTTGTCCCTCCTATAAACCAGGGTCACTGGGGGGCTCTTCATGTAACTTAAGACTGAGACCATAATGCAGGCAGTCTCAGATTTTGTTAGCTGTATGTTATCCCATAGAACACAAGGCCAGACAGAGAGTACAGATCTTGGCCCAACCCAAAGAGGATTTCACGAAGATTTTATGCAATCTCTACTCCATGTTTTCTACCTAGTTCTTTCCAATGCCACCCCCTTTCCATCAGGAAGGAACACAGGGAGCAAGAGGGGAAGGGCCTGATGCTGTCTTGGCCAGAGATGTCAGTTCATTCTTTGATCTTCTAAGATTTAGTGTCACCAACATCTTGGGCCCTGAACTTTCCAGAAGCATGTTTCTTAAGTTTGCATATGATGGAGGCAGGTGCGTGGCTCTTGAAAATAATATCCTCTTCTAGCTGTTTCAGTTCTGCAGAAGGGGTTTCTTAGCATGCTCACCACCCGCCCCTGGTCTTTTGTCCTCTTTTGAGCAATTCCATCAAGCATTTCCCTCTGGCCCGCTGACAGCATCCCACCTCCTCTCTTTCAAATGTCAGCTTCTCCACAGGAAAACCTTCTTTGACCTCTCAGGTCCACAATTAACTGGCTGTCCTCCAAATTCTCATGGCTTATAGCAACACTTCTCAAACTTCAAAATCACCTTCTGGTCTGTCTTATGAAAATGCAGATTCTGATTGGGTTGGTTTTGGAGGGGACCTGGGGTGCTGCATCAAGCTGCAAGCAGCTTCCTGGTGACTCCCGTGCTGCTGGTCCAGGGCTGCAATGGGCAGAAATCGGGACACTTGAAAGCAACAGTTCACCTTCAGATGAAGGAAAAAGCCACCGATGAATAGACCTTCTCACGATCTCTTTAGGAAAGAAAGCATTTAATGGGAACGAAAGGGAAGGAGGAGCGACCTGAGGGAAGGCTCCCTTGTCCGCCTCAGGAGGAGGATGAAGGGAGGAGGCCAGGCAGAGGAGCAAGTTTAATCATGTTCACAGACACGGGAGTGAGGCAGGTTTAATGACATTCAGAGAACAAAGGAGGCAGAAAACTGGGAAACTGAACACTTTGCTCAAGGATTGAAGGGTTTTAAGCACTCAAGGAAAGGTATTATTGAGCCAAAAAAGGTAAAATATGAGAAAGAAATTGAACTAATCTGATGCAAGGTGCTAAAGAAAAGTGTGATAAAGGAGAAAATGAAGAGGAAAATGTTCCTATCTTTGCCCATCTACACATTTATGATTTAATGTCTTCCTAATCTCTTGGGGCTGCTGCTTCTCTCTTGCCAGCTGAAGGAAACCACTTTATATTTCAAAGCAGTTGTAGGAGGTAGAATCAGGGGGGAGAATGGGCTGCCTGTGTCACCTCTTAAACATGTTATAAAAAACTTGGAGGCATTAGAAGACTGGCGTGTTTTGTGTTTCAGACCCTAACTGACAGGGCCTTTTATTTGGGCAGCCATTTTCTGCATGGCTGAGTTTGGACTTTGAAGTCTTGAAGCAGAGTTGAATGTGGAATCATGTTAGACACTGTCTCCTTAAAGAATGGTAGCTTGAAAACTAGATACCATCACACACACACTAAGCCCAGTCTTTTTTTTTCTTATCCTGTGGCATATACAGTTGCGAAGGTATTAGAAGTGGGTGTCTGTGGAAAGTGCACAGCAAATCAGGTCTCCATACATGAAATATTGATAGTAATGCAGATCAAAGGGAGATCAAGTTCTTTTCTTCCTGAGAGAAACAATGATAACAATGCTGTCTCTTCTCTTCAAAGAGAACCTCAGCAAATCAAAGTCAATTGAGAGTCCACATACTTTTTCCCCAGTAATTTCTGAAACACACATTTCATGCAGTCTCTGTTCTTTGTTCTTAAAGTTCTCTGTGTGCTGTTACTGGTCCTTTGAGTGTGAGATCGCTTCCACCTCATGCAACAGTCATTACACAGTACAACAAATGGGCTTCGCAAGAATATTTAACGACGGTATTTTCACAGACACAGCATCACAGTGTACCATGGCTTTTATTTATTCATTTAAGATTCATTCAAACTTTGCTTTCTTTTTTAATAAGAAGACATTCTTGGAAGTTCTCCAGGAAGGCCACATATCATGGAAAATGAGTCAATTCAGCATAGCTCTAAGTTGTAAACACACACACAACTAAAAAAAAAGCAAAATGATTTATTGAAATACCTATTGATATGTTTGAGAAATTTAACTTTTTTTTGAAGTATGAGTTTTTTTCATGTGGCCTCTTAGATCTTTTTCAGGAAATCTGAACTTTTGAAATCATAGAACTTTTAAAGCTATATGAGAATCTGGAGGGCATCCAAATCCATGCCTCTAATTTTGAGATGAGGAAACAGCAGGGCTGGACTAGGGGGAGGGGAGGTGAGTGTGATGCCCTGGGCGCAGATTTGAGGGGGGCGCTTGTTCTCAGCTGCGGATCGATCTGGCTCTTACATGAGCCTGAAAGTCAGTGTCTCCTTCAGTTATGCACCCTGGGCATTCTACTTGCCCCACCCTAGTCATGGCCCTGAAACAGGCCAGGGGAGGTTAAAATGGTTTGTCCCATTTAATCAAGGGAGTATCTCTTATCCCAAGCTGCTGCCTTGAAGTTTGAAAATGTTAACATGCTTAAGGGAGAAGATTAGGTAGGCTTTTGCTTTCAAATAGATTTCTAAATAAGAATATTGTTTCATTTGTGCCAGCCCTATTTACTTTTATGTTTGTCATGAATTGTTAATTACCTTCCACAAGGCACCTGATGGCCCGACTTCAGAGAACCTGCCTGAGTCTCAGCCCATTCCTGGCCCAGACCTCGGTGTGTTCGAGTCAAGTATAGAGGACACCATAATTGACCTTGGAGATCATGGTATGATCTTGCATCAGCATTCAGAAGGGTGCTTTCAGCTGACACGTGGGTTGGTGTAGCTGGTGCTGCAGGAGGCCTGGATGGCCTCTGAGAGAAGCCCTAGAAGTATGTAACCACCTTCCATCTGTTTGCCAGAGCAGGGCTGTGGCCAGGATGAAAAGCAGAGAAACCAAGGGCTTAGTCTGTCCTCCTATTTTCTTAGTGAAGCTGAGTTAGAAATTCATACCAAGCGAAGGACTCTTTCTGTGGGGGTTAAATAATGCGGTCATTAACCTGACTCTGGAACAGTGTAGGACTGCAAATGCTCTGAAGCCCCGTTTCCCTCTTCTGGACACGGTGTTCCCGGTCCCCATAAACTCCAAGTGAAGAAATGAAGTTAGGCTTTGAAAAATCAACTATGTGGATGTGTGATCATTGCTAGAAAAAAATTTGCTCAGAGCTGGCGCCCAGTAGAGGAGATACATCATATCCTAATGATTGAAAACATGGGTTTTAGAGTAAAAAAACTGGCTGTTAGGGAAGCCCCTGGCAACTTAATCTCTGCTTACCCATGAAACAAAAATAATGCCCCCTTCAAGGGTAGTTGTGGAAAACAAATGAGACTCCCATGCGAGGTGCTCTGAGCTCAGTGCCCAGCAGAGTAAGAGCCGAGGAAAGTGAAGCAGTATATGAGTCTGAAGGGGACAGTTATGAAAGTAGGGGTCCTCTCAATCTTGCACCTCTCTCCCCAGTGTGTAGGACAAAGAGCCAGGACATTATAGACACTCAGTAAATATTTCTTGAATGAATGAATTAGTGGATGAATAAATGAATGAAGGATATGTTAGTCTGCACCTCTAAGAAGCCGGTGCCAAGATGGGACTAAAAATGCAAAGATATTATTAGGGGAAATGCTTGAATGAAAGGAGATAGGAACAGAACTGCAAAAGGCTGAGAGAACCATCAGGCCATGATTCTAGTTTTATTCCAAGTAAAAAGAGAGGAGGTTCGATGGTGTGTTCTAGTCTGCTTATGCAGACAAAGGCAGCCAAGGCATCAGGCAGTCCTTAAGCGAAGTCAGCCATCAGAGGCCTGATTTTGTAGCTCTGCTGCAGTAGCTCATGGGGAGGCACAGTAGCTGCTGAGAGAATGTGGCTGCTGGGCCCTTGGCCAAATGTGATCCTTATAGTTGGAGGTCTATGAAGTATATCCTCATGGCTGCGTGAAGGGATAGCCACTCTCTCTGGCAGCAGTTGAGTTCTCTTCTTAAAATGAGAATGAAGGTAGTGAAAGTTGGCTTGGCTGGTCATCTCAGCCCACATTTGCATGTGATGCCTTCCTAACTGAGCTGTTAGAGCTTGTATGGCCTCCTCCAGCTGTAAGGTACCAGGTGGTCTTTAGGTCGGCATTTGCCCACCTTTAAAATGGCTGCCATCTGGTAACAAATATGATCTCACTGACAAACAAATATGTATATCAGATGGATTTGTATCTTAAACTTTTTTTCAGGCATTTCTTTAATGTATTATTTATTGTTTTCCACAAGTAGAATTTGGAAGCATAGAAATATTCCATGAGCTTTTCCTTCTGAGAATATAAAACTGAGAGGCCACTGCATTTAGCACCTGATAGGGATGATCTATTGCTCTGCAGGAGGGCGGGGCCAGCACTGTCTGAAAAGAGGAAGCCTTAGAACAAGGTGTGGAATGGAGAGTATAGGATCCAGAAGTCTGGACCCAGCCTCTGGGCTCAAGGACAAAAGTACAATATTTATTACTCATTTTATAGGTGAGAAGCCAGAGACAGTAAGTCATTTGCTCCAGCACTCTAAAGCTCCTGCTGACCAGTGCTCACCAGAGCAGCACCCTTCCCAACTCCATCGGAGTGTAGGTCTTTGGAGGTGGTAGGTAGGAGCAATCGATTTGCAAGAAACACGAGTATGTCAAGTAATTGAACTTTCATAAGGCAGAGATTCTTTGTGTGTCTCTAGGATAATTATTGTGAGCTATAGTAGCCAAGTTCCTCCTCAGACAGCCCTGCCACAGGGCATGGGCCATAAGGAGACGCTACTCAGATGTCCGTAATAAGCCGTAAGGTCCAAAAACACACAGTACTCTTAGCTGGGCCAGTTTCCTCGTAAGATACTTTGAACGTTTCCTTTATTTACTCCTCTCTGTAAATTCGTATTTTTAAATTCTGTTTTTTCTTAAATATTAAATTGAAAAGAGAGACTTAAAACTATGAAAATGTAACTTTTGGGTAGATGATTGATTAAAAGAATGATGGGCAACTACAAGACAATTAGTGATCACATAGCTTAATCATGAAATTCTGAGAAATGAGACTAATTTGGTGATGAACCATGAAGTGGTTATTATTTTCCCCCTTCTTTTTGGCTGTTAGAAGCCTTGACTCCAAATTTTCAGCACCCAGAGAAGTTATTGTTTGTTTGTTATCTTGCATATATATGTAAAATAAAATTACACAGTCATTTTTAAGTTCCTACACTAAATGTTTAATCAGTCTTTGATGTCGAATGGAAAAATTCCCTCTGGGATGTAAGGGTTTAGTTGCAGAGAAAAAAGACATGGTGAGGCATTATTTACATCTGATGTGCATTTAGTTGACGATAGCTTATTTAATCTAGCCAGAGCCATGGAGAAAACACAACTAGAACATTAAAGAAATGACTCCTTTAAATAAGGATTTATATTTAAATCCTCATATGTAATGCTGATGATTTCTTGCACATTATTAATTTTTGCCAGGCACTTTGTTGCACTCTTGCCTTACCACAGCAACTCACAGCTGAGTTTCAGAATAGCATTTGCAAAGCTGGAATAGTCTGAGACTCAGGGGCCCTGGGCCCACTCCGAGTGCAGCCCTCAACCCAATTGTTCAAATGCGGAGGCTTCACTGGTGTAGGCCTGGCTGTCTCCCGACAGCCCGACCAGCTGTTGCCTCTTAATTTTCCTTTCAGCCACTCCTTGGGGACAAAAGCCCCTTCCCTGTGGGAGGAGAAAGCTCTGACTCGAGAGAGTCACACTGGGCTTGCCCGAAGAAGGCCACGCGCCCTTCCCAGTGTGAGCTGCTTCATGACTTATCTTCCTTTTAAGGGCTCACCTGCAAATAAGGCGATTTGAACTCTGTTAGACAATGAGATCTTCTTATTGTTTTAATTTTAGAAAAGAAAACATCTATTAATGGTGATTTCACTTCTATATACTTGCCCTGGAGAGATGAAAGCATGGCTGCAAGATCTGTACACAAATGTTCTTAGCAGTGCTGTTCATAGGACCACTAATTAGAGACAAGAGTCAATCAGCAGGCAAATGGGCAAACTTCTAGTTTACCATGCAGTGGAATACCACTTAGCAATGAAAAACAACAAATTGTCAATATATACAACAGTGTGGATGAATACCAAAACTAGTATGCTGAGTGAAAGAAGCCTCAGACAAGAGAGTTCCTATTGAATGATCCCATTTCTATAAAGTTCTAGAACCAGCAGCACTTATCTGAAGTGATGGAAATGAGGCCAGTGGTTGCCTGGGGGTTGTGGTGGTGGGAACTGACTCCAAACCAACACCTTCGTGGCAATGGGAACGTTTGGTGCCTTCGTTGTGGTGATGGTTACCCAGATGTATATATCTAGTGAAACTCATTGAATTCCATACTGTAAATGAGTGTATTTTATTGTCTATAAATTATACCTCAATAAGTTGATAAATAAAAACACACAGATAACATATCCAGGAAAAAAAGAACATGGTGAATAATTCCCATCAGTCTTTGTTTTAGCTAATGAATGGCCAGGAGAACCTTGGGTGAAACCATGGAGATAGTAAACAACTGGGAAGGTCTCTTGAGACACAAAGTCCTCAGTCCTGGAAACGGTCATGGAGTTTTCTTCTAAAGCCAGTTGAACAACATTGTCTTCCACAGGAGTGCTAATCAAGTTCTGGGGTCTTCTCTCAGGAGGCAAATTGGCTATTTAAGGGTGAGGGGCTGGGATCCCTCAGCTCCTCTCTTCGGTCTTTACAGTGGGAGGGCCGCCCTGGCATGGCAGGGAACCGCTCCGCCAGGTCTCCAAGGACCTCGTACCCATCCAAGCAACCTGAGCAGAAAGCACAAAGAGTAGTAGCCCAGACTCCAAACCCCAGCCCAGACAGGGGAGCCGTGGATCTGCCGGGCTCGTTAGCCCTCAGAAAAGAAAACCAAATACCGTTTCTGTGTTCCTAGATGGCCCTCCTCTTCCAGACTTTAGATAACTTAGAGACCTGACTTATAAATATAGATTGATGGCAGTTTTGTTTCACATTTATCACACATTCCACTGAGTTTATATTTGTGTTTCCACCTGACTCTCATATTTACTCCTGCAGTTACTCCCTAATTTTCTGAGCTCTAGAGGATAATTAGAATAAATCTAATATTGAATGAAGATGCGCTGACTCCCCACCCAAGGCACATTTAATAATTTAGAGTGTTCCTTCCACATGACAGGCTGGGTAGGTGCCTGTAATTGAAATTTAAAAGATTATACCTAATGTGAAAAATTAAAGTAGATGCACAATAACACCTGCCCAGCCAGCCACTTCGCCATTGTGTAATAAGCATGCAAAATAGAAATAAGGAAAATTGGCGCCCAGAATATCAGCCATTCATAAAGAAAGTCAGCACCCATGGACCTCTCAAAATAAGTTTCTTACCTGAGAAAGCTGTGTGTGATTCCATGGTCCACCCCTTAGCTAAATATAAATTATACAGTAATTATTAAACTAAGGTCCCTGCTGGTCAGGCTGAACACATCTTTAAGTGGCCTTGCTTGTCCTGTTGTGGTTCAGGTTTGGAATTAATCAATTAAGCAGAAAATTAAATAAGCATTAATAATGGCTTTAAAGTAGGATAGAATACAAAATATAATAGACTAAAACCTCATATAGCGCATGCTTCAGACAGCGTTTTGGACATGCCACAGAGTGGTTTTCCTTTAGTCAATGAAATTGTTTCCCAAGCAT